AGCCTTCGACAAAATCCAGCATCCATTTCTGATAAAAACACTCAAAAAGGCTCAGCAACATGGGAATAGAGGGAGCATATCTAGACATAATAAAGGGCATATATGAAAGACCTACAGCCAACATCATACTCACTGGGCAAAAATTAAAAGCATTTCCCTTAGGAACAGGAACAAGGCAGGGATGCCCACTTTTCGCCACTCTTATTTAACATAGTATTGGAAGTCTTAGCCACAGCAATCAGACAGGAGGAAAAAATAAAAGGGATCCAAATGGGAAAGGAGGAAGCGAAACTGTCATTATTCCCAGATGACATGATACTATTTATAAATAGAAAACCACAAAGACTCCATCAAAAATCTACTAGACTTAATAAATGAATTTGGAAAAGTAGCAGGATACAAAATTAACATCAAGAAATCAATGGAATTCTTATACACCAATGATGAACTCACGGAAAGAGAAACTAATAAAACAATCCCATTTACCACTGCGGCAACAAAATTAAGATACCTAGGAATAAACTTAAACAAAGAAAAAAAAAGACCTAGTCGCAGAAAACTACAGATCTTTGAAAAAAAGAAACAGAGGAAGTTATAAAAAAGTGGAAGCACATATCCTATTCATGGATTGGAAGAATTAACATCATTAAAATGTCCGTATTACCCAAAACAATCTATAGATTCAATGAAATCCCCATCAAAATACCAACGGCATACTTCACAGAACTAGAAAAAGTACTTCAAAAGTTCATATGGAACCAAAAAAGACCTCAAATAGCCACAGTAATCTTGAAAAAGAAGAACAAAGTTGGAAGGATCACATTACCATATTTCAGGTTATACTACAAAGCCACTCTAATCAAAACAGCCTGGTACTGGCACAAGAACAGGCACATAGACCAGTGGAACAGCATAGAGAACTCAGAAATGGACCCAAGGCAATATGCTCAATTAATATTTGACAGAGGTGGCAAGAGCATACAGTGAAGTAAAGACAGCCTTTTTAATAAATGGTGCTGGGAAAATTGGACAGCTACTTGCAGAAAAATGAAACTAGACCATCAACTTACACCCTACACAGAATAAACTCAAAATGGATAAAAGACTTAAGTGTGACTCATGAATCCATAAAAATCCTAGAAGAAACTGTAGGCAACAAAATTTCAGACATCATACGGAGCAGAATTTTCACTGATACATCACCTAAGGCAATAGAAACAAAGGAGAAAATGAACACATGGGACTACATCAAACACAAAAGCTTCTGCACAGCGAAAGATACAATCAGCAAAACGGAAAGGCTACCCACTGTATGGGAGAGCATAATTGCCAATGCTATATCAGATAAGGGGTTAATTTCCAATATATCTAGAGTGCTCATACAACTCCACAAAAGGAAGACAAAGAACCCAATTAAAAAATGGGCAGAGGAAATAAATAGACACCTCTTCAAACAGGATATACAAATGACTAAGAGACATATGAACAAATGCTCAACATCACTAATCATCAGAGAGATGCAAATTAAAACAACAATGTGGTATCTCCTCACACCTCTCAGAATGGCAGCCATCAACAAATCATCAAACAAATGTTGGCGAGGTTGTGAAGAAAAGGGGACTCTAGTACACTGCTGGTGGGAATGCAGACTAGTGCAGCCACTATGGAAAACAATATGGTGTTACCTCAAAAAATTAAAAATTGAACTTCCATTTGACCCAGTGATCCCACTTCTAGGAATATACCCTAAGAAGCTAAGAAGCCTGAAATACCAAGCAGAAAGAATATATGTACCCCCATGTTTGTAGCAACACTATTTACAATAGGTAAGATCTGGAAACAGCCCAGATGTCCATCAGTAGACAAATGGATAAAAAGCTGTGGTACATATACACAATGGAGTACTACGCAGCTATAAGAAAGAAAGATCTCTTATCCTTTGATAGTACATGGAGGAACCTGGAAAGTATCATCCTAAGTGAAACAAGCCAAACAGAGAAAGACAAGTATCATATGATCTCACTTATTTGTGGAATATAATGAACATAACAGTCTGAGAAATGGGTTAGTCCCAGAGACCTGGAAGTGGGGTACTGACTGACAGTCCCCAGAAGAGGGGGTGGGGGGAAGAGATAAACCACAGAACTTATATGCATGTATGCATGAACAATGGACATGGACAACAAAGCTGGGGACAGGGCAGGGAGGGAAGGGGAGGGGGGAATCAGTGGGGGGAAAAGGAGAAACATCTGTAACAAAAATTAATTAATATAAAAATAAATAAAAATAAAAACAAATAAATAAAAAATGATTGAAAAAATAAAATGTAGTATTACATTTTAAACAAACAAAAAAAAAAATAAAGAACAAGTTTAGAGGTATCACACTACCTGATATCAATCAAACTAGTATAGTTATTAAACCAGCATTGGTACTGGCATAAAAACACAGATCATGGAGGTGGGAGCAGGAAGGAGGGGGTCAAGGAGGGAAAAAGGGGGGCATCTGAAATAATTTAAACAATAAAAAAATAAAATAAATAAAAACACAGATCAATAAAAAGGACCAGAATTAAACCCATGCCTCCATGGTCAATTAGTATACAACAAAGGAGGCAAGCGCTACAATGGAGAAAAGACAGTCTCTTCAATAAATTGTGTTGGGAAAATTGGACTGACACATGCAAAACAAAGAAACTAGACCACCTTCTTATACCACATACAAGAATAAACTCAAAATCAATTAAAAACTTAAATGTAAGACCATAAAACTCCTCAAAGGAAACATAGGCAGTAAATTCTGTGACAACGCTCTTAGCAATATTTTTTTGGATGTGTCTCCTTGATTACTCTATCAAGGGAAATGAAAGGAAAAATAAACAAATGGGACTACATCAAACTAAAACATTCTGCACAGCAAAGGAAATCATCAACAAAATGAAAAGACAATCTATTGTATGGGAAAAGATATTAGCCAATAATATATTCAATAAGGGGTTAATATCCAAAATATATAAGTAACTCAAAAAGTTAACCCAAAAACACCCAAGAAATCCAATTAAAATATGGGCAGAGGACTGGAACAGACATTTCTCCAAAGAGGACATACAGATGGCCAACAGACATATGAAAAGATGTTCAACATCAAGGATATACAAATTAACATCATGATGAGATATCACCTCATACCTGTCAGAATGGCTATCATCAATAAATCAAACAAGTGTTGGCAAGGAGGAGGACAAAAGAGAACTCATGTACCCTACTGGTGGGATTGTAAGTTGGTACAGACATTATGGAAAACAGTACAGAGATCCCCCCAAAAATTAAAAATAGAACTACCATAATTCCCAGCAATCCTACTTCTGGGTATATATTCAAAGAAATCCAAAACACTAATTCAAAAAAATATTTGCATCATGTGTTCACTGCAGCGTTATTTACAACATCCATGATATGTAAGCAACCTAATTGCCCATTGACAGACGAATAGATAAAGATGTGGTACATATACACAATGGAATATTACTCAGCCATAACAAGAATAAAATCTTGCCATTTGCCATAACATAAATGGATCTAGAGAGTATTATGCTAAGTCAAATAAGTCTTACAGAGAAAAACAAATACCATATAATCTTACTTATATGTGGAATAAAAGAAACAAAATAGCAAACAAACTCATAGATACAGAGAACATACTGGTGGTTACCAGTGGGGAGGAGGTTTGGAGGACTGAGCAAAACCTCCCAGTATAGGGGAAGGTGTTAAGTAGTACAAATTGGCAATTATAAAACCAGTTACGAGGATGTAAAGTTGACCACAGGGAATATACTCAATAATAATATAATATCTCCCTGGCCGGTTTGGCTCAGTAGTTGAGTGTCGGCCTGTGCACCAGAGAGTCCTGGGTTCAGTTCCCACTAAGGGCACGTACCAAAAAATAAATAAATAAATACTATAACATCTATCTATGGCATAGACGAATACTAGACTTATTAGGGTGATCACTTCATAAAGTATATAAATGACTAGTAACTATGTTGTATACCTGAAGTTAATATAATATTGTATGTCAACTCTAATTTTGTTAAATTATTTAAAACATAAATACTCATAAACCTCCCCCCAAATTTCTAATCTCCTTGTGGTTTCCTCTTTGACACATGGGTTTTTTAAAACTATGTTGTTTAATATACAAATTTTTAGGAATTTTCCCAATATCTTTCTGTGGTTGATTTCTATAATGATTCTACTATGATTAGAGAACATATTTATATGATTTCAATTATTTTAAATTTTCTAACATTTGTTTTATAGCCTAGAATATCTTTTATTTTGCTAAATGTTCCATGTGCTCTTTTTAAAAAAAAGTGTATTCTTTTTTGTTAGGTGAAATATTATTAGGTAAAGTGTTGTATAAATGTCAACTAGGTAAAATTATTGATAGTACTGTTCAGTTCTTCTATATCCTAATTATCTCCTTGTTCTATTGATTATTGATAGATGAGTGTTGCTCTAGCCAGGTAGCTCAGTTTGTTAGAGTGTCATCCTGATATACCAAAGTTGTGGGTTCTATCCCCTGTTGGGCACATACAAGAATCAACCAATGAATGCATAAATAAGTGGAACAACAAATCTGTGTTTCTCTCTCTCTCTACAATCAATCAATCAATCAATCAATCAATCATTAAAAACAGAGAAGATTAATGAAGTCCCCAAGTCTAATTGTGGATTTTAATTTTAAGTAGCCTGGCGGATGTGGCTCAATGGTTGAGCGTCAACCCATGCACCAAGCGGTCAACGGTTCGATTCCAGGTCAGGGCACATGCCCAGATTGTGGGCCAAATCCCCAGTGGGGGACATGCAGGAGATGACCCATCCATGTTCTCTCTCATTGATGTTTCCATCTCTCTCTCCCTCTACCTTCCTCCCTCTCTAAAATCAATAAAGAATAACAATTGGGGAGGGGGGCCACTTAAAGTAGACAGACTAGCTTACCATTCTGAATTTGAGCCACTTTTTTAGAGATCTCTCCAATGATCTGTGAAAAAAAAAAAGAAGTTAGTAAATTATTATGACTTTTGAATATGTCTAAAAGCATGGAAAAATTACTAAATTAAAAATTAGTAATTAAAAAAACTTAGAATTCTGGTTTAAGAGTCATTTAGATAATAAGAAGCAATCAGAGACTTGTTACTTCTACTAAGATTATATTCACCCATAATATACCTGTCGTCTCCACTTCTCAGCTTTGGGCAACTCAGTACATTCTGAGGCAAGGAAGGGTCTTCGTTCCTAAAAAGAAGCAAATTATACACGTTGCCACTACATGATATGAAATTACAAGCTTCATGCATCATTCAACTCACTCAGGCCTGAAGTCTAAAATCTCTAATGGTTTAAACACATCTGATGTTTCAATTCCAGATTTTCATCAAGCCTTAAACCTCACTCTACAATCTCTACCTAGGAAACTATATAAGTAAAAACATTCATTACATTGTGTTTAGTACAGTGAACTAATAGAAGCACCTTGAAAGTCCAATAATAGAGAAATGGCTAAGTAAACTAGGGTATATCGATTTCCTGACATATTTATATTACCTTAAGACATGATAGCCGTTCTGGTCATGATGGTGGCATAAGAAAACATGGTACTTGTCTCCTCCCACAACCAAATCAAAATTACAACTAAATTACAGAACAATCATCATTTAGAACCACCTGAAATGGAGTTGAATGGACGTCCTACAACTATGAAATTAAAGGAGCAAAACTGAGATTGGTAGAAAGGGCAGAGGTACATAGGGGCTGGTCCCATACCCACGTGTGGAGGATAAAAATCAGGAGGGCAACCTTGGCTAAGAAAGTCCTACTTGGGGAGCAAGGGGTCCCCATTCCACACCAGGTACACCAGTTCAGGAGTTCCAGTACCAGGAAGAGAAGTCTCCATAACTTCTGGCTATAAAAACCAGCAGGAGCCCTGATTGGTTTGGCTCAGCAGTTAGAGCACTGGCCTGCGAACCAGAGTCCTGGGTTCAGTTCCCACTAAAGGCACATGCCTCAGTTGCAGTTTCTCCCCAGCCCCGGTTGGGGTCACGTGGGTGGTAACCACTCGATGTGTCTCTCACGTGGATATTTCTCTCTCTATCTCTGCCTACCTCTCTCACTCTCGCTCTACCTGAGGATAAATGCAAAAATGTCCTCGGGTGAGTATAAAAAAATAATAATAATAAAAAATATATAAAAACCAGCAGGAATTGAGGCTGAGGGAAGCTGAGGCTTCTGGAATCCCAGGCACATCCTCTTAAAAAGCCTGCCCACAGTCTTACTCAGATCTGCTCTCTCCAGGTTCCAGCATTAGGGAAGCAGTTTGAAAGGCACCAGAGATATACCAACAAGAACTGAGTTGTTTGGCATTGTGGGGAGAGCTGGAGAGGCAGCTTTCTCCAGGGCAGATGTGCTGGTGGAAGCTGTTGTTCCTTTGCTGAGCCCTTCCCCCACAGGGCAATCAGACCTGCGCCATATCTGAGACTCCAGCAACCTGGCTCACACCATTTTCCCCACGCTGGTGATTACCTAAGGCCATGCCCCACCCAACTTTCAGGCCCACAAAAGCTTTGGCTTTACCATAGCACTGGTCTATCTTGGCTATTGCTTCAGAGTTTCCTATATTGTCTCGAACAGACAGCACCAGACCTCAGCAAGCCCCATACCTCTAGCTAACTGGCCCTAGGCCTGGCACTTTGCCTGGGCATCTCCAAGGCTAGCACAACAAGCAACCATTGGCAGATCACTTTGTAGCTTACACCTGGTGGTTCCAGGCAGACCACAGGCATAGGCTGACCTTGCCTCAGAGCCAGCAAACCCAGTGGAAAGCTTCAGACCATGTCAAAGCACCACCAAACAACTACCTCTAAAAATGACACACTCAATCAGTGGATTCAGTGGGTATCAGAGCCCTTATGAAGTAAGACTTGCTCTGTGTGGTGGGCCCTGCAAAGCTGATCCACCAAGGTGGTCAGAGGTCAGTGGTCAGTGGGCACAGCTAGTCCTTGCAGCAGATCAGCCTGAGTAAATCCCTTCCATTGACATGCCAACAGCAATCAAGACTCAATTACAATAGAAGAGTGGACAGTCCACACAAGGGATACACCACAAGGGTCCACATGAGGTGACCAAGGAGGCTGTGCCACTGGACCCTACAGGACACCTACTATAATAGGCCACCCTACACAGCCTACAAGACATACCAACTCTACCTAATACATAGAAATAAACACAGAGAGGCAGCCAAAATGAAGAGACAAAGAAACAGGTGCCAAATGAAAGAACAGACCAAAACTCCAGGAAAAGAACTAAATAAAATGGAGATAAGCAATCTAACTGATGCAGAGTTCAATACACTGGTTATAAGAATGCTCAATGAACTTAGTAAGAATGTCAAGGAACTTAGTGAGAAATTCAAGAGCATAAAAAAGGACCAGTCAGAAATGAAGGATGCACTAACTGAAATAAGGAATAATGTATAGGGAATCAACAGTAGAGTAGGTGGAGCTAAGAAGCAAACCATCAGTTTGTAATATAAGGATGCAAAAAACACCCAATCAGAACAAGAAATCCAAAAACATGAGGATAGTATAAGGAGCCTCTGGGACAACATCAAACATACCAACATTCACATCATGGGAGTACAAGAAGGAGAAAAGAGAAAGAAATCGAAAACGGCCCTGGCCAGTTTTGCTCAGTGGTTAGAGCATCAGCCTGCGGTCGAGAGAGACCTGGGTTCAGTTCCCACTAAGGGCATGTACCTCAGTTGCAGTTTGTCCCCGGCCCTGGTTGGTCGTGCAGGTGGCAGCCACTCGATGTGTCCCTTTCACGTCAATGTTTCTCTCTCTCTCTCTCTCTCTCTCCCTCTCCCTCCCTCCCTCCCTCCCACTCTACCTGAACAAAAAATGGAAAAATGTCTTTGGGTGAGGATAAAAAAAAAAAGAAATCGAAAACCTATTTGAAAAATAATGACAGAAGACTTCCCTAACTTGATGAAGGAAACAGACATACAACTCCAGGAAGCACAGAGAGTCCCCAACAAGATGAACCCAAACAGACCCACACCAAGACATATCATCATCAAAATGCAAAAGGTTAAAGACAAAGAGAGAATCTTAAAAGCAGCCAGAGAAAAGCAGTTAGTTACCTACAAGGGAGTTCCCATAAGACTGTCAGCTGATATCTCTAAAGAAACTTTGAAGGCCAGAAATGGGTGGCAAGAGATATTTAAAATGATGAAAATCAACAACCTATAACCAAGATTACTCTATCCTCCAAAGCTATCATTTACAAACGATGGACATATCAAGAGTTTCCCAGACAAAAAAAAGCTAAAAGAGTTTATCACCACCAAACCAGTATTATATGAAATGTTGACAGATCTTCTTGAAAAAGAAGAACAAAAATATAAACAATAAAATGGCAATAAATACATATCCATCAACAATTGAATCTACAAACAAAATGAGCAAGCAGAACAGAAACAGACTCATAGATAAAGAGAACTTTTTGTTGGTTGCCAGATGGGAGGGTGCTGGGGATATGGGTGAAAAAGGTGAAGGAATTAAGAAGTAAGAATTGGTTGTTAGACTGATGAACCTCAAAGGGAAGGGGGGGAGGGAGGGCAGGAAGAGATAAACCAAAAAACGTATATGCATGTATACATAACAAATGAACACAGACAATAGTGTGGGGAAGATAGGAAGGGGGTAGGAGTGGGGAGGAGGGAGTCAATGGGGGAATAAAGAGGAGACATCTGTAATACATTCAATAGTAAAGATACAGTTTCAGCCCTGGCTGGTTTGGTTCAGCGGTTAGAGCGTAGGCCTGCGGTCTGGAAAGACCCAGGTTAGATTGCTGCTAAGGGCATGTACCTTGGTTGCAGTTTGTCCCTGGCCCTGGCTGGGTTGTGCGGGTGGCAACCACTCGATGTGTCCCTTTCACATCAATGTGTCTCTGTCTCTCTCCCTCCCACTCTATCTGAACGAAAAATGGAAAAATGTACTTGGGTGAGGATAAAAAAAAAAAGATACAGTTTCAAAAGAAAAAAAAAAGGCATGATGGCCATCAATGTTTGAAACATAGGCGTGTGTTTGTGTATACACATGTATGAGAGCATGCATGTGTATACAGATGGACAAAAACCATATAAAAAGATGCTTAATGTCACTAAACATCAGAGAAATGAAAAATAAAAGCACAATGAAATATCACTTGCCACCTGTCAAAATGGTAATCATCAATTAATCAGCAAACAAGTGTTGGCAAGGATGTGGAAAAAGGGAAACCCTAGTGCACTATTGGTGGGAATGCAGATTAGACAGGTGCAGTCACTATGGAAAACATTGTAGAGGGTCCTCAAAAAATTTAAAATGGCCCTGGCTGATCTGGCTCAGTGGTTAGATTGTTGGCCTGCGGTCCAGAGAGACCCGGGTTCGGTTCCCGCTAAGAACACGTACCTCGGTTGCAGTTTGTCCCCAGCCCTGGCTGGGTTGTGTGGGAGGCAGCCACTTGATGTGTCCCTTTCATGTTGATGTTTCTCTCTCACTCTCTCCCTCCCACTCTATCTGAACAAAAAATGGAAAAATGACCTCAGGTGATAATAAAAAATAAATAAATAAATAAAATAAAAAATAAATTAAAAATGAAACTGACTTATGACCCAGTGATTCCAATTCTGAATAAATATCTAAAGAAATCCAAAACACTAATTCCAAAGAATATATGCACCCCTATGTTCATTGCAGCATTACTTACAATAGCCAAGATATAGTAGCAACCCCAGTGCCCATCAATAAAAGAGTAAATAGCCCAGCCAGTGTGGCTCAGTGGTTGAATGCTGTCCCATACAAGAGGTAGCCAGTTCAATTCCTGGTCAGGGCACATGCCTGGGTTGTGGTCCAATCCCCAATGGCAGGCATGCAGGAGGCAGCCAATTGATGTTCTTTCTCATCGATGTTTCTCTCTCTCTCTCCTTCTCCCTTCTTTTCTCTCTAAAATCAATAAAGAAAAAAAAAATTTTTAATAAATAAATGAGTATATTAAAAAGTTGTGGTACATATACACAATGAAACATCACTCAACCGTAAGAAAGAAAGCCCTGGCTGTTGTGGCTCAGTTGGCCAAGCATTGTCCAGTGCACCGAAAGGTCACTGTTTCTATTCCTGGTAAGGGCACATGCTCATGTTTTGGGCTCAATCCCTGGTCAAGGTTAATGTGGGAGGCAGCTGATGGAAGTTTGTCTC